TATGGATATATAAAATATAAAAGCTTAAGGAATAGAATGACAATACAGTATACAACAGTACATTGGAATATACAAAAATGGAATGACAAAAATATTTGTCAAGTCATGTCCATAGACCTATGGACATGGCTGGGCATGATGGTACACATCTGTGATACCAGCGCTTGGGAAGCTGAGGCAGGAGGACTACCCTGAGTTCCAAGCCAGCCTGAGCCATATGGTAAGATTAAGACCAGCCTGGGAAACATAGTGAGACTTTGTCTCCCCCGACAAAAAAAGGCAGTCAATGAAAGGAAAGGACTCAAGAGAAAGAACAGGGGCTGGAGAGATGGCTCAGTGGAATAAGAGCTTCCCTGGCAAGTGCAAGGGCCTGAGTTCAATCCCCGGTTCCGCAAAAAAAAAAAGAGAGACAGAACAAGTAAAACGCATTCTTTAGAAAACAGCTGTGTTCTTAAGAGACAGGAAGCAAAAGATACCATCAATGCAATAATGAATAAGGAGAACTGTTTCAGCAAAAATTATTTATTTTATGCCAGATGTAATAGCACATGCCTGTAATCCCAGTACTCGGGAGGCTGAGGCAGGAGCATCACTGCAAGTTTGAGACCAGTCTGGGTTGCAAAGTGAGCTCAAGGCCAGCCTGAACTGTAAAGTGAGACCCTGTTCCAACCCCCATATGTAATGTGTGTGTGTGTGTGTGTGTGTGTGTGTGTGTATATGTATTTTTTTCTCCCCAAAGAATGATTATGGTACCTCTTGAGAACATTTAATAAAAATGAAAAACCAAAGCTGTCCAATTCTTCAAATCACAGCTGTCTAATCTGAATTAAATTATGCAAATTATGACTATGAACAAAAAGAAAACAAGATTTTGGAAAGCATATAAAAATCTGTGGAGTTACCGATTTGATTTGAAACTGTCTCATTGCTATTTGTTTATCAATAAAATTATGGCAAAAAAAAATCTGTGGAGTGAACTAAACAGGAAAAGGGGACATAGATGAATGACCATTTTGTTTCTGTGTATTCAAAATGATTAGGATAGATATATAGTTACATTTTCTTAATTCAAGGAATAGAGGGATTTGTTCTAATTGTGTTTGTAAATAGGATATCATGTCTGCCTCTTGTACAACAACCACTAGGAAGGCAGTATGCAATATGTTAATTATTGGAACTGTCCTACCAATTTGATTTGAAACTGTCTCATTGCTATTTATTTCTCAATAAAATTATGGAAAAAAAAAAATCTGCGGGGGCCGGGGAGATGGCTCAGTAAAATAAGTGCTTCCCTGGCAAGCGCAAGGGCCTGAGTTCAATCCCTGGTTCTGCCAAAAATAAAATCTGTGAAAAATTCATGATCAATAGGTAGAAAACGTTAATTCCTTATCTACTGGTAATCCCGTTCTAAGAATTTGTTTTTCAGTACTTAAAGTTCCTAAAAAGTATGAAGGCCTCGGCATGCTGACAGTGTGTGCATATCAGCTGCCCCTTCATCATGGCCGGGCTACATAAGGAAGTTAGGGCTCAGATAACCTGACTGCTGGATCTGCAACATTCTACCAAAGACAGTCAACATCAACTGAGAAAAATATGATGCTGACATATGGTATTCATTAATTACTAGTAGGAGACGGCAAGAAAAATAATGAAACTGTCAAAAACAAAGGCAGTTTAAAATATCTGAAAATATACTCATTCTTTTTAGAATCTTTTTTTATTTTTTATATTTGTCTTTTGGAGACATGGTCTCGCTATGCTTATGCTGTTCAGACTGGCCATGAGCTCATTTTGTACACCAGGCTAGTCTCAAACTTGCAACAATCCACCTGCCTCTGCCTCCTGAGTGCTGGGATTACAGGTATGCACCACCATGTCAGCTTAGAAGCTATCTTTAGAGCTTGCCTAATAATTAGTATTTTTATAAATGATAAATTCATTTAGAAACTGGAAGTTAGATGGGAATACTTGATCAACTCTAGGAAAAAAAAAATCTTCCCTTTTGGCCCTATATAATACACAGCAAAATAAATTTCAGCTGGGTTTAAAAAAAAAGTCAAAAAATAAAACTGCTGTAATACAGCTCAGCAGCAAAGCACTTGCCCACCATTTTCCAAATACCTAGATCGGCACTCAACACCACAAAAATAAGTTAACAAAACCAAAAACAAGTACAAAAAATATAGGAGACTATTGTATCATGAGCAAAACCGAGAAAGCTCTCAGGCTTGGCTGCATTAGAAATGGAAGCCATCTGGATATAGTCCTCACAGGCTTCCAGCAAGCATTCTACCAGACCTACACCTCCAACCCTAAAAACTGAAACTTCTGTTCCTCAGATAATATTATATAAAAGTAAAAAGCAAATTTTAAAATGGAGAAAATATGTGCAGCATAAACCAAGGCTTTGAAGAGTTCTTTTTTAGCAATAGGAGGAAAAAGGAATGCCGGGACAAGTGCACTAAGAAGTGACTGGCAAAGGAAACTTTAAACAGTAAATGTACAAATGTTAAGCTTATGTACTGGTATAAAAAACACATTAAAACATTTGACCAGAATAGACCCAGACCACAGGCCCGGCATGTGAGTGAGACGACCCGGGGCCCGCCGGATCCTGAATAGACCCAGAGCCCAGGGCCCGCAGATCTTCAATCGACCCAGAGTGCAGGCCCAGCGAGGAACCCTTCAGCAGAACTCTCTGCAAAGAGGCTAGAGGCAAGACCCACCCAGCTGATTCAGGAGCAGAAC